GGACCAAGGAGCTTTGCTCTCACAAAGCATTGCTTCCCTCTGTGTCTGCGGGAATGAGACTTTCTCTAGCTGTTGTTACAACGCTAATGAGTCAGACACCCATATTTCACTCACCTGGTTTATGATTGCCCCTATAATTATCTCATGTTGGCACAGGCCTACAAACAACTGTATGAACCTGTGCTTGAGTCAGGACCTCGTGTCTTGTTTTTTTCCTATTTCACATATAAATCTGTACTATGGGAAATGTATTAAAACTCAATAAATCCACATATTAAGAGAAGACAATATTCTGTGTCTGTATTCTTATCATTAAATTTATTTTGTGAACATTGCCTGTTTGGGAGGAGGATGGCCCCAATTGAATACATTGGTATCCCTTTTCTACCTATAATAAGATTATAATGCCAGTTGTATTTTAGAATCTTCACTATTGATTCTGTACATTGTAACACATTTCCTTATTGTACACAGAATATTGCAGAATGTGTGATACTATATTAGTAATATATTATCAGAATAAGGTCCCAGAAGCCACTACTACTATGTACACAGATATATTTTCTGTTCTATTTAAATGGTATTTTTATGGTGTATTTTTTATGAATACCCAACAATTAACTAAAGATTAGGGTTACCCCGACCCCCCCCCACCCCTCCAACTAAGCAAAATATTCAAAAAAATATGTCATGTAGCAAATCATTCTGCGTAAGTAAAATAAGTTTTTATTAAATATATATTTTTATTAGCATCAATACAAAGCACATTCTTTCCAGAATTTTACCCGTGCATTACTAAAGCTGCGCAAGTTATTACTTAATCGGAGGCCGAAACCAAATTCTGTTTTTAACTTTTTTTTTATTTGGAGGGCTGTATTCATCCCGCGTTTGGCAACAAAAAGCGTCCAGAGTAAGCTTTTATTTCGAATTTGAAGCCTGATGCGTTGTTTATAGTTTTACTGCTTTCGGGTATAAACTTGTTCATATTCTTGACAAAAACATGATTACTCTACGCTATCCCCACCCCTACAACTGCCTTATATGTTAAGGGGCATGAAGAACAAGGTGTTAAAATGTTTTTGGCAGAAGTTAAAATGACATATTTTCAGTAGCTTGCTCTCATTCTGTGATTAGAATACAGCATATACAGCTTTGTAATTTCAAAATTTATTGTCTGCAGAACCAGTTTAGCATAGCACATTGATAATTGTTCCAGTGCTGCAACGTTTTTTTTTTAGTTTCGTCAGGATTGCATTTAGAAGCCAAATAAAAGGCCCTGAAGACCCAACTGCTGACACTTTGAAAGTAAATTATACTGGCTGTGACAGTTGTCAACCTCTAGGGTCATAGTTGGAGAGCAGGTGAGGATTTGCAGTGAAAAAAGTTATCTTGGATAGGTAAGTTTCCTTCCAGTTTTTGAATTCGAAGTTCACTTAGAATTTCCAAAAATTCATGCTTTACAGGGTTATTCAGTAAAGTTTGAATTCAAAGTCAATTTCAAATTTAAGGCCAGGGTAGCTGAATAGAAAGCACAGCTGATTTTGAGAATTTTTCCAGTTCTGCTCTGTTGACCTTAAATTCGATATTCTCTTTGAATTCACCTTGAATTCTCACTTTAGTAAATAACCATTTTAGTCTGTAACCATAGATTTAATATAAGGTACTGCTTGATAATTTCATCCTAGGAACACAGCTAAGCCTGCAGCTGAGAGGGAAAGTTCCTGAGGCTGTTTAACAAAATCAAATCCAACTGGGGTCAATCAATTCTCCTTCTGAGGAGTACAAAGATTCATCTGATGTGGTGGACAAAGCGGAAGAACCTTTGTCATGAGGATCCGAACTGGCTCATTGTCACAACAGATGCAAGTTTACAAGGATGGGGTGCTCATTTGGGGTTAAGATGGAAGCAAGGAAACTGGTCCAACAGAGAAAAGAAAATGCATTCCAATCTTAGAGAACTGAGAGCGATATCCAGGGCCCTTCAAGAGTTTCTTCCTTATGTAAGGAATTTATGGATTACGGTTCAAACAGACACAGGGCTGCGGCTGTCTATTTCAACCATGAAGGAGGTACTCAGTGCAAACTTCTCCTAAGAGAATTGGCTCCACTAATGTTGTTTGCACAGAAATATCTACAGGGTCTGATGGCTGTTTATCCACCTGGACCTCAAAATTTCCTGGCAGATTATCTAAGCAGATCGGTAGTTCTGCCAGGAGAGTGGAAACTTCATCCAGAAGTATTCAAGGAGATAACTCTTTAGAGGGGGGACCCCAGATCGATTTGATGGCTTCTGCTAGCAACTCACAAGTGTACAAGTTCTTCTTTCTTCACCTAGGCCATCAGTCAATGGGACAGGATGCTCTGTCTCAAGAATGGACATTCGATCTGGGATATGTTTTCCCTCCCCTACCAATAATCCACCTCATATTTAAAAACATTTGTCAGGAAAGGAAATTGGTGATAGCTGTCATCAATATGTGGTCAAGAAGACCATGGTTCCCTCTTTTGTGCAAGATGTGCTTAGAAACTCCCTGGCTGTTACCGAACAGGATAGATCTGTTGAGTCATGGACCTGTACTTTATCCCAATCCCGAACAGCTGAGATTGGGGGCCTGGCTCCTGAAAGGGAAAGGTTCCTACAATTAGGATTATCAGAGGCGGTGATTAACACGCTTCTGAAGTCACGTAAAAATTCTACTTCTAATTGCTATCATTGTATTTGGGTGACGTTCAAATCTTGGGCAAAAAAATCACAAAGTGTTTTTTTGCATCCTTCACAGAATCATATCCTGGAATTTCTACAGGTAGGCTTGAATAAGGGGTTGAGTCTGAGTACTCTGAAAGTTCAGAACTTTTTGCTCTTTTTAATGTTTCTTGGGCTTCTAATCCCTTGATTGCTAGATTCTTTAAGGCTACTTTGAGTATCAAACCTCCGTATCGCAATTTTACGCCTCCATGGGATCTTCCTCTGGTCCTGGACGCATTGTTTAATTCTCCCTTCACTCCGCTAGAAGACTCGGATACTGCTTTAACATATAAAACGTTGTTCTTAGTAGCCATTACCTCAGCTAGGAGAATTTCAGAGATAAAAACCTTTTTTTTTTTTTTTAAATTAAATCTCTTAAAATCCTTCAGGATTTATACTTTCCTATACTGTATTCATATTGGAGATTATTATTGCCCCTGACAAGCACACTTGCACACTATCACCAGTAGATGGCAGGACAGCATTGCTCCCGCATGCAGACCACAAGAAAAATGGACGTTTTGGAATTTATATACAGTATAAGACAATCTGTTCCATGTAGGAACGATAAAGTTTTCTGGATAAGGACAAGCTGACAAATAAAGTCGATTATTTAAATTATGTATATAAATTAATGAGATATTTTTTAAGCAGAAAAGTGATTTTAAAAATATTTCAAATATCACTTTCTCTTTTTATGTTTATGCATAACATTTTATTTTGTGATGTTTTCATGCAGAATTAATAGAGAACAGGGCTTCAAACTCTTTTACAACCTATAAAACCTTTAACGATATTGTTTCAATTGTTCTTGAAGATATAGAAATTAGTAGAACTGGCTTATAAATAAGTTAATAAGGGATTGTTGTAGAAATGCTTATCTTTCATGGATAAGTCCCCCTTTTTTTTTTTTTTTTTAAAAGCCTTTCAACCAATATTGCTATAATATACGCAAAATGTGAAAATAATGTAACAGCATGCTTATTTTGCATTTGTTGCAAAAAAACCCCCCATACTTTAGAAACATAATATGGTACATATTTTAGCTTTTTCACAAGAAAATACTCTCTCTCTGAAGATTTGCAGAAAAAATGCTCACTGCTTTAACACATACAAACAGGTAAATCAAATAATGTCAACATTGCTTTCAGACTTCGAGACTTATGTCAAGACTTGTTAGACTATAACGCTGACATTACTTGATTTATCTGCTTGTATGTTATAAAACAGTGGATGTTTTGTATACAAATCCTCAGATAGGGAGAGAAAGAGAGACTTTAAACTCGACATCCTTTTAGCGTTCCTTGATGAGTAGTAGTTCCCTTTTTGTGTTTGATTTTGGAGGTGCAATGTTATCTTCTGACTCCCGACAGTCGATAATTTTCGACACATCTATGATCTCGTTAAAGGCTGCCATATATATGAGATTAAAGGAACGATTCAAGCACCCTTAACACTAGTACCTGCTGTAAAGGTTATGGTGACAGGATTTCCCCGGCACCCTCTCAGGTTAAGTAGTCAAATCATTTACGAATACTAACGTGGGGTGTGCCGGGTGCCTATCACAGCATCTCCTGGAGCCAGGAGCTATTGCTAGGAGCTTCTGTCAGCTCCAGTGAGCTTATCTCTGCCCTGCATTGCCAATTCCATGCTGCAGTCCTTGAAAGACTGTGATTGGGGCCCCGTAGACCTCGATTTAGTTTTGAAACCATTCACAAATGTTTTGACTGCTTACCCTGGAAATGTGCCTCTCCAAGCACCATAACCACCACAGTGCCTCCCATCCTTGCCGAATTCAGAGGGACAGCCACGATTTTCAGGTTCTACTCCTGTCCCGCCTTAGTTCCTTGGTGTCACGCTTTTGGGGACACCAGGGAACTGTCCCCAACATTCATGGCACATGCGCATCAACATACGTGGCTGCGCTATGATTAGGGCACTGGGATTCTGCAGGGAGTACTGAAACTGTGCTCCATGCAGGGTCTGCCCTCCCTTTACCTCCCTCCCACCAGCGCCCCGATTCGCATGACGACAGAGTTGTGAGGTATGGGCTACTTCGCCTTTGAAATTCACTTTGAATTCTCATTTTAACGAATAAACCTGTAACTTGCCTGCCTAAGACTTAACCGCGGATCCAAGACTGGGCTGTGGCATAAAGAACTTCACTAATATCAGGTATAGAGCTGAACCCTCAGTTTTAGCGTACTGCCCCTTTAAACCCACAGTTTGCGCATGCGCATTGGCCAGGCCGTACGTCCATGGAGCCAGCAGTACTCAGCCGCGCGCCCACCGCGGACGCGCGTAACTGAGCAGGCGCGGCTGCGCGTGCCCTCGTCGTGACCGCGCGTGGCTGTGCATGGCTGCTTTTTTTTTTCTGCCTTTAACGCGTTTCCTCAAAGTTCTCTTTCAGCCCCGCTGACAGTCTGTCTGCGCTACCAGGAGCCTGCCAGGGCGGGTAATGCACAGTTATGAAACAAGCTTTATTATTCACGGCGTCGGCAGAGCAGGTGTGACGAAAGCGGAAGTGACGTTTAAGACCACAGAGCTCTGCGATGGAAGGCTCCGGTAAGATGGCGCCGTCCATGCTGCCAGCACGCTTTACTCTTCACACACACACCTCGTATTATAACTGCAAACATTAATATACATATAATATAACTCTAAACTTTAATATAAAGCTACAGCTTATCTCATTATAAGCTCCTGCTCGTTAGCTGTGAATTATGGCAAATTAAGATCTGAATTATACAGTTGTGGCAAAATATTTTTTCTGCAGGAAAAATAATCTCTAATAAGGCTGTGGGAGCAGCTTGGCCGTTTCAGTCTGAATTGTGTTACTCTGATTTCAATGTGATATGATTTGGAGTGTGGTAAATAGCCCAGCAAGTTCATATATTGGGTTTTAGGAGCTGGATAAAAAGTCTGTGTTGCAGGTATCTCGCCCTGAGTTATCTACAACATTATATGAACACCTCTGATAGTGAGCTACATGGGGTCCTTTCTAAACAGTACATCACCAGTATCCTACAGTGGGGAGTGAATATTGGCTTTAGTGATGGTGTTGCACTCCTGGAATTGCTATCTCAGAGTCTCTTGAATAATTTGTATTATATGAGTGGATTGCTCATTCTGGTCAATATGATTAAAGGACCACTATAGTGCCAGGAAAACATACTCGTTTTCCTAGCTCTATAGGGTCTCAGGGTCCCCCTCCTGCCGGGCTCTAGGGTGAGGAAGGGGTTAATCCCTTACCTTTTTTCCAGCGCTGGGGACTCTCATCCTCCTTTCCCGTCATCGGCTGAATGCGCATGCGCGCACATTCAGCCAATCTATAGGAAAGCATTCTCAATGCTTTCCTATGGACACTGGCGTCTTCTCACTGTGAAAATCACAGTGAGAAGCCCTTCTAGTGGCTGTCAGTGAGACAGCTGCTAGAGGCTGGATTAACCCATTTGTAAGCATAGCAATTTCTCTGAAACTATTTTTACAGCAGAAAGGGTTAATCCTAGAGGGACTTGGCACCCAGACCACTTCATTAAGCTGAAGTGGTCTGGGTGCCTGTAGTGGTCCTTTAACCTAAACAAGTGGTAATTTAAAGGCAGCTACTAATCTAAAGATCTTAACCAATTGACACCTGCACCATAAAAGAATGTTGTGTTTCACATAAGCGTTGCACATTTGTTCAGCTACCTTTACTCCATCAAACCTTACTACATTTCAACTCTATAATGATATTACTTGTTTGTCAAACGTGTGTTGTACCTTTTTTCAACTAAAATAATTGTCAAATTAAAATAAAAAGTGCTGCTATAGCATGGCTTTCATAACCTGTGCGTTTACAATCAATAAGGCAGGCAGTTCCCTTTTGGATTTCGCCTTGCTCACTGGTTATCACATGCAGTATGTGGATTCTGTAAACTGTAGGGCATACTTTATTCTTTTTCTTTTTAATTGCTGGCCATCATGTAGAAGTGATACATGTCCAGAACATTTTTTGTAAATCTGCAAACAGTAGTGGTGAATATTTTAATGTAAGCTATTGGTGTCCTACTCATGTATTACTCTAAAATGGAGATTTCCCCTTAAAGTGTAACCGTCGCTTTTGGTTTTCATTGTATGTTTCGCAAGGATCCCTGATGTTCACATCTCTGCCTAGAGTGCAGTGGAAGGTGGTTATACTTAACTGAAGCTGTCCATCCCAGTAGCTGATGTCTTCTCCCTGGACAAATACTGGTGCTTTACTGGAGCTGTGTTAGTACTCCACTCATGGGCATGTGTGAGTACAATGCTGAGGTCTATGGAAGATCCTGCAGAGCTTCCCTAGATAAGATCTCTTGATACCTGATTCTCTCAAAAATTGACGTTGAAGCTCTGTCTTTTGTCATCCTCAGGCTTTACCTTAGAGCAGGGGTTCCCAATTAATTTTTCCCGTGGAACCTCAAAAAAAATTTGGCACAGTAGCGCATATAGTAAACATATAGTAGTACTTAGGAGCAGGTGTGCTTTTGTGTGTACAGTTGGTGATTGTATATAATAGCATTTTGATACAGGGGTGTGTTTGTAATGTTTGCATTTGTGTGCAGGGGTGTGCTTGGATGTAGTGTTAGCTTTCAAATGCGGATGTACATTTGTGTGTAGTGTTAGTGTTTGAGTATTTGAGTGAAGGGTGTGTTTGTATATAAATTAAAATTTTGTATGTGATGTTTGTGTTTGCATTTTGTGTTGGTGTTTGATTCCTGGGATGTATGCACATATACTGCCACGTACATACACACAGACACACATAAAAATGTTGACACAGACACAAAGATACACACCTTGACACATGCACAGAGCTTGACACACAGACGCACACCAATACACACTGACATACACACACTCTCAGATACACAAACCTTGACACACAGATACACACACTCATGCGCACATTGGCATATGCACAAACCTTGACCAACAGATACAAACAATGGCACATACACACGCACACACCCTGACATACAGATACACACACTCAGATACAGATACTGGCACATACACACACCCAGACACACATGTACACAGTGACACACACATACACATTGGCACATGAATACACACTGGCACATACACACACAATCTGACATAAATCAGAGACACCCTCCTGTTAACTTACACTGTGGTCCTGGTGATGTTGGCTGAGGCTGATGGGAGTGAGCTGCTACATGCTCACTCCAGTCTTTCCTCTGCCATGCATGCTGCTCCCTTTCTGGGCTGCCGTCTCCAGCCCTTTTCTCTCTCCCTCCCTACTGCGCAGCAGCAACTCTGTGAAGCTGGGATGAAGTGCTGTCGCTTCCTCACAGCCAGTCGATATTACAGGAGCCCGGTCATGCTCATAAAGCGCCACGGCACCCGACCAGGCCCCTGTTAAGAGATCAAATCGCGGTGGCCGTTTTGTTTGGCAAAATTACGGCGGAACCCCACTTGTGTTCTTGCTGAACACCAATTGGGAAACGCTGCCTTAGACTGTTACTCTTGTCTGTGTCTTATAATATCTTTGGATTGCGTTGCAATGTAAATTAATTTCAGTCATTATGAGAATTTCATAAAGATTATATCACTCTTAAGCAACAATACTCCAGGCATCGTGACCACTACAGTGCACTATAGTTGTTATGGTTCCAGGAGTGCCCTGGCACTACCCCAGGGTAAGTAGTCAAACGGTTTGCCAAATTACCTGGGCAATTACCTGGGGTCTACTCGCACCAGTTTCTGTTTCTAGAAAATCTAGAAGCTTCAAAAAGGAGCTTCCATTAGCCACCCCTGAGCTAAGTGTATAGCAGGGTCTTGGAAAGCTAGAAACTTCAAGAAGGAGCTTGCATTAGCCCCCCTCCCTGAGCAAAGTCTGTAGCGGGATCTTATACTGAGAGTGTCAGCCGAGTCCTCTGAGCCAATGAGCTAAGCCCTGCACTACCGGCTCAGAGTAGAGAGATGACCGTGGCCCAGTGGACACCAGGTATTTACAAACAATTTGACTGATAAGCTGAAGATGGCAAACGATTCTCGATGGACAGTTAGATGCGTTTGCGCCAGTAGTCCCCAACTCTTCTCTGTGAAAAGCATCTGAATTGTAAAAGATTCTCAATTCTAATGCTCTCACTGTTACCACACAGACTGCAGACAAAATGTAGCTATCAGGTTTGCTAAAAAAAAACCCGGATATTACAGAAACCTCTTTAATGCCAATTAAAGGGCTTTATTTTAACTATACATCAGGGGTAGTGAAAAGTTATATTTCCATTCATTGTAAAAGTGTCCCTTCATCAGGCCGTGCCAGCGTTAATACTTTCAAAGCCTGGTGGCAGTCGTATTTCAACTGCAGCTGGAGATCAACCTTTTGGCCAGTGTTTCTAAACACTGAGCTTTCTACAAGTTTTTAATTGTGTATATTTTGTGTTTATTCTAATATTTAACAGTAGGTGGCACTCAAGGACTTTTGTCCTGCGTAAAGGAATATAGTGGCAGATATTTAAAAGAAAATGAGCCATGTCTTCAAGTCTCTTCAGTATTCGTTATCTAAGCAGCATGTGAACTCTGTATGTTTAATGTTATTGCTGTAGAGAACTCTGCGTGGGAAGTGAAGTCTCCCTAAAAGTGACTCTCCAAACAACGTTACCAGTCAGCTCATTGTAGTGTTTTGGGTGCTAGAAAACTATGGGTATATCCCTCCAGATTTGTAAAACAGTTATGTAAGGAATATTCTTGCTTTATAAATAAATGCCTTTTTTACATTTTATTTTTTTAAATAATGCTGGAGTGTTAAAGAGTCTCCTATGCCCCTTCCCCAATACCTGCAAATAAAGTGTTGATTTAGCTCTAATCCACAGACAGAAGGTCTGTTGCTGCAGCTCTGCTTTACCCGCTGTGAGATTATCAAGCCCTGCAGAGAAGCCATTGGATGCAGGGTGCATGCGCAGAAATTGCCGCACTGTGCCTGTAGTGCTTGTCATTGTCACATGCTACTTTAAAAATACAGTGGGTATCCTTGTTCAGTTCTGGGATCCACCAACTAAGGTTATAAAATGACCAATCTTTCCAACATTTTAGGCTTGATTAATAGGAAACCTAAATACCATAACCACTACATCTCATTGTAGTGGTTATGGTACTGTAATTCTAGGACCATTATCCCATTGTTTTGTTGTTTGTTTTTTCAAATTAGTTTGGAACGGCAAGCAGTGTTCTCAGCCTCTGATTAACGTCCAGGTTGCATGATGCCACACATAATTATGAAGAAGTGTAATTAGCACATTATCAATATGGAGGTATTTGGCTATTGGTGCTTGGGAGCTCCCTTTTTTTAATTTTTTAAACCTAAAAAACTGAGAGACTGTAGCAATTGACTAATGGCACCATAACCAATACAATGAGCTTTATTGGTAATGGTGCTTAGGATGTTACTGGGTTGTTTTTTTTTGTCATTTAATTTTTTGCGTTATGCATATAATGCATGACAAGGAAAACCAGCATGTGACACAGAATTTGGCTGAGTAATAAAAACCGTATGATCTAGGCCTAGGTGGTAGAGTTGAACATCTCGTTTCATAATGGGTAAAGAGTAAACAGGTTTACAAGTGTATCAGCAAATAGGAGACAGGAGGACACCCCGGAGAGAGACATAAAAAAAACCCAAAGCAACACTGGAGTTGATGCTAGCCGACAACACAACATGCAGTCTGCTTCCAAATCTACCGGATGATTCTTTGCAAGATTCTTTGGGAGTCTGTGATTGGACAGCCAGAGTAAGTCCGGGGGAGTTTGGAAGGGGGGTTATTGCAAAGTTTGCAGACAAGAGAGCCTCAGCTTTTGCAAGCTGCCCCAATGAAAAAAAATGCATAACTAAATGCATGCATGTCTTCTAAACAGTGATTTTTTACAATTTATTTGGGCAGCTTATTACACCTTGTAGTCAGCACAGAGAGTGGAAAAGGAACAGAGGCAATGTTTCAGCTTCCTCTCCCTTATAATACGTGACCAGGACTTATCTGGATTGTGACATCAATTGTTAACTCTTTTAACCCACATTTAAAGGGGGACTGTTGCTTTTGTGGACTTTACACCAGTGACGGAAAAACTGGAATTCACCTGTAATTTATGTTGACCTTATTTTCAAGAGTTGCTTTATTCATTAAATTCATTTAAAAGGATTAGCAAGTTACATCATAATCCTTTTCACATATACCTCATCAGTGTATCTTTTCCATACATTTTTCTGAATGGGTAACTAGTGATAAGCTGAGAGCATTGGCTTCTTGATTGAAACCTCGGAGGGGTAGATCGATCAGATGCTGTCTTCCAGACTTTGGAGTTAAATAGCTTGTTATTGTTTTTACCCATTAAGAGATATCCTTGCACCATAACAACTATGATTAAAGGGACACTATAGGCACCTAGACCACTTCATCTCATTGAAGTGATCTGGGTGCAATGCCCCTGTCTTCCTTAGTCCTGTAATGTAAATCATTTCTGTTTTAGAGAAAATGCAATGATTACCTTGCAGGACTAAGAATGCTCGCTAGGTGACTTTTGGTCACCTGGAGCCAGTGTCAGAGAAAACCTCATTGGAAAGCTTTGCATCAGGTGACGGAGTGCCAACCCAGCGCCGAGAGATATTGGCACTGTAATCGGGTAAGTACAGTAAGGCTTAACCCTTATTCTGACTGGAAAGGGGAGTGGAGGGCAGAGGGAAGTATAGTGTAAGGACTACAGCTTTGTATTCTTTACACTATGGCCTCTCTTTAAGTTGTTATGATGACCAGAGAGTCCCTTTAATTAGCATTACACAAGTCTCTTAACATCTGCCACTTTAAATATTGAAATTTCTCTATATCTGACCCCTACAGGAGACAAGCATGTGTTCCAGTGCCCATTGAATTTTGAACCGGTTGCAGATTATGATGGAGCAGAAATCAATGAACCTGACACGGAGGTGTGGTTAATTAAGGCTCCATCCGATTTTACACCTGAAAGGTAATCAATGCGTGCTTTACCCTTTAAACCAATAGCAATTCTTATTACTTATATCCCTGTTCCGTTTCTGTATAGTGGCTGCATTGGCTTATCATGTGATATTCCTGCGTGACTGTGTTGGTGTAAATTCTACGTGATTCAGTCCATGCTTTAAATGATTGCATCCCTGAATATATCTAGTGTGTGCTGTTTATTCACCCACTGATTCTAAAAGGAGCCTGCTGTGCTGTTTTATGGTTTACAAAATTCTATCCATTTTTCCTTCTTAGCTTCAATTCTCACCGCCTCCCACTCTCTGGCTACAAGACGCAGAAGGTGAAGGTTGAAGGCATCCGTAAATTGTACCACGTCCAAGCCACCCATGGTGCCAGTGCCCCTTGCCGCGCTTTCCTTCCCCAAGATGTAGATGCTGGACTGAAATTTGCTTGCGCCCCTCCTTTCCAGGGTATCATAACAGTTGCAGAAGCCCATGCAGACTCTACGGCCCTTCATCCTATCCCTGATAGGCCTTCTTTAAAAATGCCCCAAAACCTAAAGCAACGATATCACCCCTTTGGAGCGGATTCTCCAATAACGAGGCAAATATCCGAGGGACAGTTTGCAGCAACACCCATTAAAAAAAAGAAGAAATCCAAAAAGCGCAAGCTGGAGGAGGCAACAGTGTAACAATGGGACATTAATAGTGGGTACCGTTAAAATTGATCAGCTGCCTTGTATTATCCTGAACAATATGTAAATAAAATCAGCTCTGTCACCAAACTTTTAAAACATATTGGCTTAGTCTTAATTTATGCATCTCTTAGTTTTAACATGGCTTATTTTTTAACTTCAGATGGCAAATAATTATTTCTTTATATTCATTAAGGGTAGAGGATGGATGTCCCAGTGTAATTATGAGTTGATATGTTTGTCTGGTATTTGTATTTTTGGATTAGGACTCCAAAAGTATCAAAATACTACAATGTTGCCAGTTTTTACTCTTGCTCCTTGGCCTGGATTCCCTCTGAGTCCCACTCTGTTTCATGCTGTCCCTGTCTACCAACTCTCCTTGTTTTTTCTTTTTAGTAGTTGCTGTTTGTGTCTGGATATTATAAGACAACTGAAATCACCCTGACTACATCATCTCAATGAAGTGCTGTAGTTTTTACCATTTATTGTAAGACACTGCCGTTTTGTAAAGAGAGCATTGTTGTTGTTTAGTCGTTCAGTCGTGTCCGACTCTCCGTGACCATGTGGACCCTAGCACGCCAGGTACATCTCTCAGTCACTGCCCATTCTGAGCTCCAACAACTTTATGTTAGTTGCTTCAGTGACCTCATCTATTCATCTCAGTCTCTGTCGTCCCCTTCTTCGTGTGCCTTCAATCTTTCCCAGCATTAGAGTCTTCTCTAGAGAATTCTGCCTTCTCATTATATGGCCAAAATATTTGAGCTTCAGCCTCATGACCAGTGAACAGTGAAAGAGAGCATAGTCAATATTAAAGCACAGGCTGACAGTGGGATATACCTTCATGTTGCCACTCACTTGGGATGGCACTATTCTCATTCAGAAGATAGTTCAAGCAAATGTGTGGGCACACACAAAATGTATCCAATGCAAACTTTATAAGACAGAGAAGTTGTGAGCATCTGCATTGTATTAACTCTGTGTGTGCCTGGACACTTGTTTTAACTATCTACATTAAAGTATTAAAGGACCACTTTAGTGACAGGAAAACAAACTTGTTTCCTGGCACTATAGTTTTAATAGGTCCCCCCCCCCACCCTCATGGCCACCCCCTCCCACCAGGCTGAAGGGGGAGGAAGGGGTTAAACACTCACCTTTCTCCAGCACCGGGCTCCCTCGGCGCTGGGGACTCTCCTCCCTCTTCTGACGTCATTTGCTGAATGCGCATGCGCGGCAAGAGCCACTCGCGCATTCAGTCAGTCCATAGGAAAGCATTCTCAAAATCACAGTAAGAAGCGCGGAAGCGCCTCTAGCAGCTGTCAATGAGACAGCCACTAGAGGCTGGATTAACCCATATGTAAACATAGCAGTTTCTCTGAAACTGCTATGTTTACAGCTGCAGGGTTAAAACTAGATGGACTTGGCACCCAGACCACTTCATTGAGCTGAAGTGGTCTGGGTGCCTATAGTGGTCCTTTAAGGACGCCTTTAATGGATGTCTTTCTTGCAACCATTAGAGGCGATAGCACCTCCATGACCGAGAGTTTTTCAATCAAATTATGCTGATAGCAGGGTTTATTTGGAGGAGTGTGGTGTTATACTGCGCATGTGCTCTCATCCCTAGGGCTTCTATGAGTAGCATTGGATTGGGTGAGATCACTGAAGTTGTCCGCTTGGATACTGATAGAGGCTGCGGTAAAGGAGTCTCCACACTGGAAATTTGGTAATTAAAATAGATTCAACTTGCATTTTACAGAGCAAAGAGGGGGCAGTGATTACATCAATAGAAGGGAACATACTGTCCCGAAATAACAATTGTTATTTTTAGGATTATTGATTTCAATTCAATGTTTGTTGGCTTAATCAATGTCTATGTTTATATTGGTCAGATGAGGTCAGTTTGTACTTGTGCAATTATTGGTTCGCCATATCTCTATATTAATTTGTAGGTATACTCTGTGTTCAAGGTGTTTAAAATATGTTGTTGGGCTTCCTATTTTTTTTTTTTTGTATTTGTTTTTTTTATATAGCTCAGACCTCAAGTTACTGCATTGATCCTCCATCTAACGCTCTTGGTTCACTAATTGTATTAATTGATTTGGCCTCTTAAAAATGTAGTATGGTAAAGCATAATAGAGTACAAAATTGAAAAGTTTGGTGTATTTACATACCCTTGAGCTTTAGCTATACGCAAGAGTGTATTTTGTAGACATGCTGATAGTAAAATCCGATTTATAAACTATAAAAGTTAGTTTGTACACTGTTGTTGTCATCTGAGGCTCAGCCCCATATAATGTTTCTGGGCACTTTGACAATAAAATATATTAAAAAAATATTTATATACATATATATCCAGTTTGGTCATAGTCTTGCGTGTGACACTTTTGGTCATACAACATCCATTTCATTTCCTCCATGTATTGTTGCTTCTTCTGAAGACTTGGTTATCAATGAAGTATCAACTGCTTTCTCCAGTTGCAACGCATCCTTTTCTGATGGACTCTTGATTTGCTCTAACATCTTCTCCTCTCCAGAAGATGACACATCTTCACTTGATGATGTTCCACTTGATGACGTTCCGCCTCGATAAACCCCACTCCTCTCCATTGCTCTCCGTAGCCTGTCCCACCCACCTTCTTCCCCTTGTAAGGCTCGATTGTAAAGTTTGGTGTGAACCCTGAGTTCACGTATGCTTCGTTGGGTTTCCCGTGTTCGCCGCAGGAGAGCAAGAGAACGGAGGGAGATATCCAAGATTTGAGGAGGGGCATTATTGCTTTTGGGTGGGGTGGGATACTGGACAATTGGAGGTGATTGGGGGGTTAAAGCTGGAGGAGTGTTCAGGCGCGGGGCAATCCGAGGGTATGAGCGTAGGATTGGCAGATAGGATGATGAAAACGGGCGCTTGCGGTGGCGTCGTACTGGCTGTTGAAGCATAAGGAGTCGTGGCTAAGGAAGAAGAAAAGATTGGGGCAAATTATTGAGCTATCAGGAAGATTTATCTTCTTTTCTATCTCTTTTGTTTTACAACTATGTTCTTACCTGTTTTAGTACAACATTTTGCAGTATGTAGATAGGAGTATATGTTGCCTGAGAATGTGCTGATTCTTGTGAGCTTTTGGACACCGCAACTGCTGCTGATCCTGCTGTCTCTTCAGAACTGAAACTCTCTGAACTGCTGTCTACAATAGGGAAATACAAAAGGTGGGACATTAGAAGTGACATTTGGGGAGAGTGGAAGACAATGTGATGTGTTTTAAAGGTGCGAGAAAGCAAGTTTGAATGAAGGCAGGGGAAACATTACACTATGTCAAAAGAGATGAGGAATCTCTAAATCAAAAAGGCAAGTGGGAACACAATCTCTGCCAAACTGAGATAATGACAACTATAAGTTGTAAATTAAAGTGGAATGTCAATATATCCTAATTATCTCTTACACCATTACAATAAAACATTGAAAGTCTATAATTAATTATCATTTTTTTTAGCTGACCGTAAATATATCAGATGTGTGTTTTATCAATATAAATCCATAGACGTGCAGCACAGGCATGTGCATATCTTCTACAACTGGCATTTAAAAGGGGACCCCAAACACCATAACAACTAATGCTTCCTCTACAGGTTATGATGCTAAATGTCCCTGTCTCCCTGCACATAGCTCCTTCCTGCTACAACAATCAGTATAAATCAGGTGTAATAAACCCCATCGTTCAGAGACCTCACAGAGAAAGCTTGTGTACAGTATGTGCTAGTATGCAAGTTTCCATGTGCTCTAACACATTCCTTCAGAGGCGTGTGTGAATGATCTTTAGCCGTACTCTCATATTTTGCTCATTTATAAAACAACAAAACAAAGCTTATTTATTGCTTACCTGAGTACCCAGAGTCCTTCTCGCTGCCTCCTTTCTCCTTTTTCACCTGGTCTTCCTTGGGCTGTTTGTCAGCTTGGCTGTCTGAGTGGCTCTCTGTCTCCTGTTTGGGGGAACCTGTCTCAGAGTATGAGGATTTCATGACTGCAACCAGGGGATTCAAAAGAAACTGCTTAAAGTAAGAGAAGAACATAAAGAGTTAGAGAATGGAAAATAGGTTGCAACATTCTTGGAACATAATTTCTTAATGAACTTTTATTTTATTGATGTGAAATTCAGCAGGCTTATGGCTAAAATAATAATAATAATACTGTTAGGACTTCAGAACACTTCTTATGTAAGATATAACCCCTTGTACCATACAGGGACGTAACTAGGAACTACTGTGTGCAAAGGAAAAACATCAACCCCATTGCCTCTTTTTACTCCAACCTAAGCAATACACCTCTGTTGGATGTTTGTGGTTGCTGAGTGTGATATGTAAATATTGAGTATGCTGAGATTGATTGTGTGTATGTGGGGTTGACTGTGTGGGAATACTGTCAGAGTGTCATTGTGCATGGGGTTGCCTGAGTGAGGGGGGCAATAAATGAGTGTGATTGTGTGTCTGGGGCATCTGAGTTTGATTGTTTGGGCTTGTGTGAATGCATGTGTCATTGAGTGTGAATGTGTGTGGGGTTAGCGGAGTCTGATTGAGTGTGTGCTTGTCTAGGTGTAAATGCATGCATATCTGAGTGTGAATGTGTGTGGGGTTAGCGGCGTGTGATTGCATGTGTGCTTGTCTAGGTGTGAATGTGTGTTGGGTTAGCTGAGTCTGATTGTGTGTGGTCTTGTCTGAGTGTGAATGCTTGTGGGGTTTTCTGAGTGTGACTGTGTGTGAAGTGTGTGTAATATTAACAACATAAAAAAGTTGTTTACCTCATTCCCCCCTCCTGCTTACCTTTCTGCAGGGAGGGGGTTATAATCCCTGGTGGTCCGGTGGGGCTATGATCCTTGGTGTCTCGGGGTGCTGCTGTACTCATCCTTGGGGAGAATGTGGTCAAATGCTCTTCCTGTCCGACGCTCATTGATTGAGTCAGAGCATTGTCACAGTACCCCAGTGACAGCACTCGGACTCATCCTCTGAGCACCGGGACTGCAAGGGTGCACTTACCCAGCGCTCCATCGTGAACCTTAACAGTTATTTAATATAGTGCCAGAATGCCAATGTATTAAATAGTGCTTTTGCAAGGAGGGGCCACTGACTGGCCTGGGCCCCCCCCTTGACAGGTAAAACTCCAGGGCCCCGTCGTAATAGAGAACGTGACCCTGGTAATTCTGCCAGTGGTACCCTGGCTTGTTTAATTATGTAAGAAAGTGGTTAAAACATGTAGGAACTTTTTTAAAACTTTTTTTTGTGGAGGAAAGTAGTCAATTCAGATTAGTTGAACTATCATTCTTGAACATATCATGAACACCCCATTCCGTATTATCTCCCGGGAAAAGCTAATGAAAGCAAAAGATCACCAGGTTATGTGTATAGAAATACAGAGATGAGCTATATCGCGTCCTATTCATAGATTGGATAGGAGGAGGCCTGCATCAGACCTCACAGGTTATACAAAGTTTACTTTATTAGGGTATAAGAATGCACAGAATACGTTTTAGCCAATGAGGCCTTCATTGTGATAAAATAAGTAAGAACTTGTGCATTCCTTTATGCTAATTAAGCAAAAACTGTGTTCATCCATCTTCCAATATGATGCTCCAGTTTAAAGGAACACTCGTAACGTTAAAAATAAGTTTATATATTATAAGAATTAGTGTAGGTGACTGGCCTCGAGTTTAAAAAAACTCCATTAAACGTATGTTATCCAGCTCCGGGACAGTCTCATCTCTGCAGCCCGATCCCCAAACAGTGAGATTATCAGGCCTGTTGTTCTCTGGTCCAGTCAGGTGCGTTTCACAGGAAAGCATTGACAAACAATGGTGCTTTGTGACAACCTCCTATCCAGTGCGTCGCAAAGTTTGATGGCACTGAGCGACCTTCTAAGATCTTAAGGAGGAAGTGTCTGTTCGTCTCACTGCACTGGTTATAACACAGATTTCTTCGTGTCCATTGCTTCCCTTATTTGTTAAACCATTTTCAAGCAGTTTAACAAAAAAACAGAGGTTCCTCCTCATGTTTAAACCCTGTCCCCTCTTCTATAGCTTGGCTAAAGCAGATGTAAATTCCCAGATTATTCCTCCAACTTAAGGTCTCATTGATAGGTCGAGAATGTTGGACTAACCGCGGGAAGCCTATCATTGTCCTTCAAGTTTCTTATCTTTCACATTATCTAAACCACGGCCAGGGGCCCGAGATTTAAGTTACAGGAGAGTAATGTTTTTGTCACATGTATCAAAAAGGTTTATCAAAAAGGTTTTAATTTAAAACTGGGGTGAGGGGTGCAATGAGATGTAGAGGTCGTGGTGCTTACAGTGCCCCTGTATGATAGACAAATAATATGTAATTAATTGCTCTGTGGGCTTGGGTGTTCAGAAATAATAATGAGATTCATAATTAGTTTTAAAAATTATTAAATGCCAGTTTTATGATACTATGCCATTACGGAAATATGAACTTATGAGCATCACTAACGAGAAAAATTTCGAACAATGATCAGCACAGCTAAAAGTTTTCTTATACACTAAAAAAAATCCCTATTCTAATCTGCAAATAACTTTATACATTTTTATGAAGAATAAAATATTGGGGGAACTATTATAATATAACTATATTATGCCCATTGGCTATCATTTGTAGAGATTTCTAAATATACAAATAACCACCCGCGTTATTCACAAATATAATGTCTCAGACAGGTAACGTCAGGTAGTCCAACATTGCAAACTATGGTTCCAAGTTAAGACATAAAAAAACAAAACATTCTATTTGTGTCTTTAAAGGGGACCCGTCCATCAAATAAATGAGTTTTAAAAAGTGTAAATACTGCTCACACACTTTGTAAACTGAACTGTATAGTTTCTGAGAAAGATGGTGATCGAAAGTCCCACACACTGTTACATAATCTGATCACTCCCATATGTAAATAAATGACAACACATTATGTAAGTGGATCCATGGATTGCGTATGTTACAAGGAAGTGAGGAAGAATGTAATTGGGAAATATAACACATTTCCGCACATTTTATTTAAAGTTTTGGGATTCGATTATGGTATTTCTGTTTTTTCTGAAATCTTAAAAAAACAAAACATTTTCTCCTCCTCAACCCAATACAGGATTATTCAATAATGGGATTATTTGCTAAAGTCCAAACACAGTCTGGATCACCAACATTTGGTTAAAATTACTGAATTGCAACCGAAATGTGGAATTCTCATATTAACTGAACACAAATCCAGTTGAAATTTAGTTTCAACCAATTAAGAACGTATAATTTGGTACCATCTGGTGTCTGCTTTAAAATCAATTATTCTCATTTGCAAATTATATATAAAATATAGGATTTACATATTTATCAAATATTTATCATACACAAGCTATGAAATAATGAGTTAACATGAAATAGTCTAAATGTACATAAAAAATTATATAGATGTTATAACATATAATTATCAGTGTATATATAAATTCTATCAATTCCAGATCCTAGGCATTCCATTGCTTCTAGACATAATCAAGTCGACATGCTTATTTACCAAAAGGGAGAATTTAAAATGGAAGTAGCAGAACTGGAATCATAGGTGAATTTAGCTAATAAACCTGCAAGTCTCCATTCTCTCTAAATTGCCTGTTTTGTAAGATTCAGGCATTTGTAAATCTTTAATATGCAATGTCAGGATTTTGCAATCTGAATGCCCCTAGATTAATTATTTTCCTAGTCTAGACTTGGGCCATAATTTTAGGTAAAAATTAAAACATAGGCCATGTGGAATATTTTTAAAATTTGTCTCTTAGCACTTGAGTGTACACCATGTTACGATATACTTTGATACATAATCTGATGTCTAATGTGCTTAATGTCCATTTATCACGCAGACGCAGTGATAGACCAGGCAGGGATAGCCACAGGAGGTTTTACAGGGAGGACGGGGGATTTCTATTGGCTCTCGTACTTCTAGCTATCATTTAAATCAAAGCAGGCAAAATCCAAACCATAGGAAGTAGCCATGAAACGAACACTAACATTATATAATTCTTAGCACTACAACTCTCGTGGAAAGCCAAGAGTTCTGTACAGAATCTAAAATGTTTGAATAGTCTAGTATGTTCAGTCTCTCGTATCCAGATTTTCTTTTTCAAATTCCTTCTGTTATACTTTCATGTTTAGCTCTCTCCTCCATCATTCTCCTGTTTCACTCTCTCCAAAAACTGGTCAATAACTCTGCATCCTTTACTTCCCCTTCATATAGTCCATATCTCTGTATCTCCTCATGAACTGGTCCATATCTCTGTATCATCCCCTAAACTGGTCCATATCTCTGCATCTCCCCCTGAACTGGTCCATATCTCTGTATCTCTCCCTAAACTGGTCTATATCTCTGTATCTCCTCGTGAACTGGTCCATATTTCTGTATCATCCCCTAAACTGGTCCATATCTCTGTATCTCGACCTGAACTGGTCTATCTCTCTGTATCTGCTCCTAAACCGGTCCTTATCTGTATCTCCCCATGAACTGGTCCATATCCGTATCTCCCCCTAAACTGGTCCATATCTCTGTATCTCCTCCTAAACTAGTCCATATCTATGTATCTCCCCCTGAACTGGTCCATATCTCTGTATCTACCCATAAACTGGTCCATATCTCTGTATCTCCCCCTGAACTGGTTTATATCTCTGTATCTCCTCTAAAGAGGTCCACATCTCCGTATCTACCCCATAACTGGTCCACATCTCCGTATCTACCCCTAAACTAGTCAATATCTCCGTATCTACCCTTAAACTGGTCCACATCTCCGTATCTACCCCTAAACTGGTCCACATCTCTGTATCAACCCCATAACTGGTCCATATCTCTGTATCTACCCCTAAACTGGTCCATATCTCTGTATCTCCTCTAAAGAGGTCCATATCTCTGTATCTCCTAGTGAACTGGTCCATATCTCTGTATCTCCCCCTTAACTGGTTTATCTCTCTGTATCTATCCCTAAACTGGTCCACATCTCCGTATCTACCCCATAACTGGTCCATGTCTCCGTATCTACCCCATAACTGGTCCATGTCTCCGTATCTCCCTCTGAACCGGTCCATATCTCAACATCGCTCTCTTTCTGCCCACAAACTGCTCCATATCTTCATATTTCTGTATCTCTCTGTATATGTATCATCTCCTCTTTTTGTGCCCCTCTTCAGTATGTATCTTCATCTCTCAATCTGTATCTCTCTCCCCCTGTCGGTATGTCTCACTCTCTCTCTCTCTCTCTGTATCACTTTTTTAAATATACCTCTCTCCCTGAATCTCTCTCTGTCACCGTCTTTTCTTCGCTGTCTTTCTCTGTGTGTCTCGTCGTGTCTCTCTCCCATACCACTCCCTCTCTGTAAGGAAAACAACCTCCTCGTGTCTTGCTATGTGCTTTGCCTGAGGGCAATGCCAGTAACACTCTGTACTGTACTCACTGTACCTGCACCTCCCTTTGTACTGTACATACCTACTCTACTGCCCTGCCAGTGGATGTGTCACTCACTCCTGAGTCTGTCTATACATAGCCTCTGACAGACTGAGAGTGATGAGAATTTACCAGCCATGTTCTGCGTCCTTGTTTTTGCATGTCAAGCTCTGTCTCACTGTTTATATTAGTGTAAAGCACTGTGTACAACATGTGTATATTGAGTATATGTTATGTTTCCCATCATGCTCAGACAGCCATTTGCTAAGCTCCTTGAGAACTGCCGTCCCACTGAAGTTGGGATACCACGTGTCCTCTCCCTGTGTGGGTATTTCTTCTCTAAACCCTGTGTACTTGCTGCTCATGAGCTTATCTATCTATCAATCATCTGTCTGTCTGTCTATCTATCTATCCATCGTCTGTCTGTCATCTGTCTGTCTATCTACTGTTTGTCTGTCTATCTGTTTGTCTGTCTATCATTGTCTGTCTGCCTATCTACTGTTTGTCTGTCTATCTATCTATCTGTTCATTATCTATCTATCTATCTATTATCTATCTATCTATCTATCTATCTGTCTATCCATCCATAATGTCTCACCATCTGTCTGCACATCAATCCAAGTCAAACTCTGTCTGTCCGTCCATCCATTTACCCAGCCTGATGGATTATCTGTCTGTCTTTGCAATCTACCATCTGTAGCGCTGTAAGTTTATCAGTCTCGGTACGAACACGTGTATCACACATCTTACCTTGTGTGTGTCTCTCTGTGGTCTCTGTGTCTCATCCAGTTGGTCCTCTGTAGTCTGTTTGATTTGCTTGTCACGCCTCTCTCGCCGCGCTCCCTCCTCTCTCTCCTCCCACTCCTCGTGTTCTGAACATTATCTTTTATTTAATCTCCCAGTCAATAAATATATCCAACTCCCTGTCAATCAGTAATCGCCAAGAGCTCTCTGTCAGCCTGCCTCCCTACCTATAAATGATATAATCATTGTCTGCTCATGGATTATATTTAGCCAATCTCTCCTTTAATGAGTCAAATTTATTCTATCTTTCTTTATCTTTTTTTCTATCTCTTTTTCTCCCTCACACTGGTTTTTTCAATCACTTACTCTCTCTCCATTTTTATCCCTTCTTCCCCAAACTTGTTCATTTTCCTCTCTTCCCCTTCCCCTTTCTCTCTCTCTCTATATTTATATGTTATATGTGTGTGTGTGTATATATATATATATATACATATATATATATGTGTGTGTATATGACTGCCTCTCTGTCGGTCTCTTTGCAGCTCTGACTATCTCGATACATATGCCTGCCTCTATCACTTTATCTCCTTGTGTTTTCTTGCACACTCTCCCCCCTGTCCATGCAGCGTGTCTGTGTGTGTGATCAGCCTGAGCTGACGTACGGATAACACTTGCTCAGCCATGTGCTGGGATTAACCCATTTGAATCAGAAAGAGGGGGAGCGCGTTGGTAATGGAGAAGGGGGTGGGGGGTGGAACGACAGTGCAGGGCTAAATAGCATCCGTGTGGAATAACAACAGTCATTGCAAGGGTCAGATTCGTGACAGCAGAATGCGAGCGAATAGAAAAAAAGGCAACAAAATAACTGGGGCTAGAATGCACAAACTGCGATTCTGTAGGTGCATGTGGTGCAATTGTTAGAGTTGGGATACGACCACCTACCTCTAGGCGAAATGATTTTAACCCCTTATCAGTGGAGTCAGTATATTATTTTCTGATTCGACTAATATTCAACTTTAGGTTGCTTTAATAATTGTACAGCGCTACAGAATCTGATGGCGCTATATAAATAATAAAATAATAATAAACTCTACAGACTATGTTGGCATTATATAGATACACTTATAGCAGTAATAATCATAAAACATATTAGAGATATGTACATAAAAATACTCAGGTGCGGTTGAATATTTATTACATTAATTAAAGAGCACGCATCTCGTATAATGTCTTTTATTATTTTTTTGGATGTGTCACTGCGGACCACGGTTGGGATTTACAGTATATCTGCTCCTCCCATCCCAGATGTTCTGTTCCCAAACAGTATTTCCTGCTGGGCGACTATAAGCACACTTACATAATATTTGCGCTGTACAGTACAGGAGACATAGAAGGAGCCACAAGGTACAGAGTGCTCTTCTGGAGAGGAGACACTCCCCCACATGTCCCGGGACGGGTGCCAATGGTAACACAAGAGAACGAAAAGTAACAGGACGACAGCCAACTTTACAACGTGTATCCTGCCAAACCGTGTAATAGTGTATAACAATAAAGTGTATAAATCCCCCTAAAATACTGGAGTGTGCGAAGACACATGGGTTGTATCTTAAACAGATATTAATTGATTTGTTTTTCTTCCAGCAGTCAGGAACAAAGCGTTCTCCGTAACTATGGGGAATTTTCATTTTAATGCTCATCTTCAGACTTCCTTGAATAAACTCAATTTATTAACCAGGCTGAAACCAAAGTTTCCTATATATCTAGCCGAAGGAGACGCAAAAGGGGAAAGGGGAGGGGGGGGAAGCAATAGCCCCCCAGTCCACTATTATAAAGGGGTTTTGTGCATTTTCACAGCATCTTCCTGCTTATTAAATCCAAAAAGGGATTTGCGCTGCTGGCTAACACCTACTGCCAGTAAACTAGGGACAGAGGGAAACAGAGCAGGCCAATTACCAGCCCAGCACTGCATTCGTTAATTTGCAACCTTTTTGTTTTTAAACTGCTGGCCTGCGGTCTCAAAACCTCAGGAACTGCTGCAGAATCCAGGAGTTGGAGTCTGGGCCTCACACACAGTATCATACCTTTGTGTATTTGTTAAAATAAAAAGATTAATTAGAAACAATGCCCTTTGCCCACATAATTCTATAGTTTACTCATTAAAGGGACACTATAGGCACCCAGACCATTCCATCTCAATGAAGTTCCATGTCCTTTGTTTTAGGCCTGCAACTAAAAACACTGCCATAGTGCAGAACGGCAATGTTTTCATTGCAGGGTTTAAATGTGTCTTTTTTCTCTGCCACTCAGCTACTAGAGGCACTTCAGAGAGACTGAATTTCTGATTGGCACAATGCAGAGTTTTGCCCTGCATGCGCATTAGCCTCCCAATGCTTTCCTATGACAAAACATTGGATTGGCTGAGATCATCAGTCTCGATGATCTCAGCCAAAGATGCAGGGCCAGAAGCAGAGGTAAGTGAAATTACTTTTTCTCTCCCTGCAGATGGGGGCTGGAAACGTAAACAGCAAGCAGGAAATTATAGCATTAGGAATACACATTTCTATTTCCCAACACTATAGTGTTACTTTAAACAGTATTGTGATAACTGCTGCCTGAGTGGACTTTCTTCCTATATGTTGGAGAGCTGGGTTGTCGCCGGGTTCCACCCAAAGATGGCCTAAGGTCCCATTTACATTTTCAAAATCATAGATCTGTAAAAGCACAGATACATTTTTCTGGACATAGTTCAACTCCTCCCTCACTTCATTTTTTTTTTCATTGGATGGAAGTCCCCGGGACCTAAACCCACCAGATTAAGAATTAGCAAATTGTCTAGAGGTAGATCACTGGTCCTTCTGAATAGATAGCCAATCCAAAATAAATCAATTCATATGGATGGGGCTACATCACAGGGTTAAACGTACAACTTTATATGTGCGAACTAGAAAAGGAGGTTTGGGGATGCCACACTTCCTTCATTACTATCATGCAACACAACTAAAACAATGACATGCTCCAGTAGGTATCAAATGCTGGGTATATCAAGAACATTCAAAAGAGGAAAATATTTCACCTTTACAGGATAAAATGTAGGTGGATTGGCGCTGAAATATGGAAAATAGCAACAACTCCCAGTGTCTAACAATCAATCAAAAGACACTACTTGAATGAATAAAACCAAAACACAGTGAGGGGGGTGCAAATAATACAGTAAATAATACTTATAACTGTGAGACCTCTTGATCAATCTGTAAAATATAATATAACAGCATAGACATAGTGTAATACTGCATTAAAAAACAAGTTGATCTATAACAGAGGTATTGGGTCACTCACAATCTTCAGAGCCTTAGGAAGCAGGCTCTGACTGTAACTGCATTCGAATAATAAGCTTATTCAAGATTTCAGCACGATATCTCTGTCTCCTCCTTCCCAGGTGGGTATAAATAAATTGATATCAATGTTGAATGAGGTAAATGAGAAGAGTTTAATTCAAAATAAAACAATAATAAAATAACAGCAGTACAAACATGATAAAAAAATAAATAAAATATAAAATAAAATATCTGGACTTTGCCATTTTATTTTTTATTTTGTTTGTACTGCTGTTATTTTATTATTGTTTTATTTTGAAATAAAATCTTCTCATCTACCTCATTTGACATTGATATCAATTTATTTAAGGTTCTATGTGCGCGGCAAAAATAAAGAATTAAATAAAAAATAAAAATGAAGCAGGTCAAAGTATAGTGAAATAAATTTCCACTTTATCAATTGTGAGCATTGTGCATGCAGTTGTATAATATTAAAGGAACACAACACACATAAAGCACCTTTGCTTGCTGAAGTGCCTGATGTGTGAAAAGTGTGTCATTTTCATTTCACAAAAAGTGCAGATTTCAGTAGAAATTTACACTTTTATAAATTAACCTTGTTACAACCCCTTGGCAGGTAACTGGCCAGAGCACCTGCCTTGTAAAGACTTCTCATTGAGCTGCATTGGGAAGTCAGTGATTGGACACCCACAGAGAGTGTGGGCGGAATTAGAAGGGGTGGTCTTGCAAAGGCTGCAGACAAGAGATCAGAAGCTTTCTATTTTTCACTAACATGTTGCAGAGGAGTAAACCTGCTCTGATTGAAGATCCTTGAGAAATTGATTAAAACAATATAAATAAAGTACGTATTAATAATGGTATTTCGAAGTTGCTGATTATATTCTCACATATGTTTCACTAACAGCTTTCTTTGCGTTCTCTAGAGCAGTGTTCCTCAATCCAGTCCTCATGGACCACCAACAGTTCAGAAGGTGTCCCTGTTTCATTCCAATGGAGATACTGACAAAATCTGGACTGTTGGTGGTCCATGAGGACTGGGTTGGGGAACACTGCTCTAGAGCCTATCACTCTTGGAAGCCCACCGGAATGGCGTTTCACCAGAACTTCCATCTTCTTCAACTGTTCGGGGAGTGATACAGCCTTTCTATAGAGATGCTGAGATAGGATGAAGATATTCATGACCTACTACTCAAAAAATGTTTTTTTTTTATCAATGCAGTATCAGCAGCAGAATGTTTAATTCATTGGCCTTTATGCTTGGACAGATAAGCAATGGTCTTGTCTTTCATGGGGCAATTGTATTTGGAGCTCACTATTTGGTAGATAGCAACAGCTGTGTTGTCACATTTCCAGCACAGCTCCATTGATGTTCTAAATGTATATGTCCTCCCATTTGCTAGTTGGAGATATTAGAAGGGCATTGTATTGGTAGATCTACAAGGGATCTGATATTCTCATCGACAACATCCATTTCCAACTATCCTCTTGGTGGGAAAATTCTCTCTCCTTCTAATGGGTCCCCTATCCATTAGTCGGATTAGTGGCCTATTGCAAAGGACAACTGGATTGGTTCGTAGGAATTACAGGATCCCCTGGTGTGATGTCATTGAAGTGCGGGGTGTGTTCTGTGTAAAGGGTGCACACTCATGCATTACAGTCCACAATTATTTGGACAGTGATACATTTTATTGTTCCATGCTGGGCACAATGGAATCAAACTGAATTTAAATGAAGCACCAATGAAGATGATCAAGTGTAGGCTGTATATTATATTTGGAGATTTGGAGATTGGCTTAGTTCTGAACTGCAGTTTGTCAGAATTTGGGCCAATTGGGTGATCAGCAGAATTCTCAAACTCAAAGCTGAGATGTAGACAAATCACGAACCAAATGAACCACGCAATTCATGTTCAATGATTCTTGATTCTCAATTTCATCCATGGTGCTGTAACAAGAGGTGATTGATTGCAAAACAGATGAGTGATCACTAGGGGACAGTTCACATTTATTTTATCCAAAAACCATAAAGATTTGAGCATGCACAAAATAAAGCATGTTAATGAGGCCACAATCTATCAAATGTATTAAAGTTGTGTCGGTGCCCAGGGTGTTCCTTTAAGTATCTATCGAAGGGACTATTCCTGCTTGGTAGTGTAGAGGAGTGTGTCATCTGTGTATTCTGTGAGCTTAAACTGATATGAATCTGGATTCACAAAAAGGCACCAGTGTTATTTTGTGGGAATAAAAAATAGTCCTGGCTTACACCTCATTTCATCCCATGGTTACTGGATTCGTGGTCCAATCATTTCTCATTATTTTTGTCTTGGGCTGATCATATAAACTTATTAATAATTCAAAAAATAAGATACAAATAAAAAACAGAGATAAAAAATGGCGCTAAGAGTAATTATAATATATAGAATATCATATATAGAGAACCAGTGCAGCACACATAGATAACCACCCAAGTGTATAGTCACTGTATAACACTTACATACAAGGATAAAATGAAAGAGGACGGTGATTGCGCACACAGTAAATGATATCCTTAGTCTAGGATGAAGTCCCTAGATTCTGTAAACATAAAAAACCATCATAGGGCAATACATCTTAGACTTAAATAAAGTGTAAGAAAAACTTGGAAAACACACAATATTTAGAGCCTTTCTGAGTTGGCTCTAAACTTTTAAAGCAGGTTTTTCAATCTGGTGCAGATAACGCAGTATAAATCCCTTGGCAACCATCAAACGTCTTCTTTATATAGAAGTCAGGAACCAGGATGACCAGATAAATGAAAAGTAAATACTTTAATTATAAAACAAATAAAAATACAGCACAACGCGTTTCGACCTAGTGCAATAGGTCTTCCTCAGGTGCATAACATAAGACAGTCAAACAACATTCTTATATACCATGCATAATCAATGTAATTACTAGTAAAACCTTCACAGCTGTAAAGTCCGTCATTAACTCCATATATGGGGTGTTTCCGGCGAGAAACGTCCTGTATATGCCTCCTCCAAGATGGCCGCCGTATACTATTCCTCATACAGGTGCGCGCGACCTTCCCAAAATGGCCGCGCGTCATCTCCGTGTGATTGTATTACATTACTTCCGGTTTCGTCTTACTCCGGTCACGTGGTGCGGCTTCCGATCACGTGACACCGGAGAGGGCGTAAACAACATGCGATCATATCGTTGGTGCAAGGGAGTGTCAGTCAAATCATTCCCAGTTCGTATTTTAAATACATTGTAGTAGGAAAGTGAGAGGTAAAGAAAGAAAAGGTTATATAAAACACCAGTCATTTATAGACTTATAAAAATTCCAACAATAATATAGTTATTGGGAAAATAAGTATCTTATATCTTGAAAATACTAAATAAATATTAAGAATAAATATTAAATAATAAAAAACATGAAGTACATATAAAATAGAGAATACTAATACCATACACATCAAGGGAAATTTATAAAATTGAACCAATTTCAAAATCAATGTTAAGCCCCTTTGGGCATAATGTTTGAAGCTCAAATATCCAATTTGATTCTTTTTTATTAAGATTCTTAGCAGTATTGCCACCTCTCCAATGATTTTGTATTTTATGAATGGCTGTAAATTGTAATTGACAACAACATTGAAATTACAGGATCCAAGTTAAAGGATCACTACAGGGTTAAGAATACAAACATGTGGGGGCGGGGCTTGACCTCCACCATGGCCGGATGTGTTTGCTTGTAGCTCCCCACGATCTTGGACACAACTACGTGAAAAACAGCGCATCTTTTTACAAAAAGTGCTTTTTAAACTATAAATTGATACTCTAAAGCCAAGCATATCTTGTTCAACCCGAATTGGAAAATCTATTGGACATCAACCACGTCTGAGGCCTACTGCATCTGGAGTGCCGAAAATGGGAAGATGCGTCCGATCTCCTACTAGCAGATGCGCAACATACAGCTCATAGCTATCCTCCCCCTTTGGACCGGTGGGGGTTATCCCGGTCCCCACTGGGTCCACTAAGCCTGCTCCACAAAGAATGGTAGAAGGAATCTTGCAAGACACGGCTCATCCAAGATGGCCACTGCATTGAAAATCCATCACAACCAAACAAGCCTGATAGGCCAGAATTGGAGGCCTTTGATGCTAGGTTCGAGGCAATCTGCCAGGCCTTTTGGGACTGTCTCACCAAGCGAACACCCACATTTACCCTTCCTGAGTCAAAAATCAGCCTGTAAAGCAGCATCTGTTACCTGTTCCTCTTCTGGGCTGGGGGCCCAATTTTAGGTTCCTCCAAGCCACAGTCCATATACCCGCGGGGAAGACCGCTATCCGGAAGACCCATGGGCCCACGATCCCGCCACTCAGAGAAGGGGGTTCCATGAGGGTTCCCTTCACGGTCCGGAGCTGAAGCTACAGGGAACTGTCCACTCACCTGCTACACATGCAGCACACATGCCTGATCTGCCGTGTGCCGGGGAGAGGGGCAAATACACCCAACTCGGAGATTGACTATCCACGATGGCCTGCACGTGGTATTGATTGAATACAGCCGACAATGCCTCTTTCGATTCCTCTCCTGTTGCCTGACAAATATTTTAACTAATGATATACCTAATGTTGACACTTGCTGTTTTTTCCTAGCCTTCTACTACCTGCCCACACACAGTGACACCACCGCTAATCACCTAGTCAGTCAGTTATCTTCCTATTGCCTGTAGCTTTTTCTTTTAACTCCTCACTGACTTGTATCCCCCCTTTTCTATTCTAAGATAAACAACAACACTTATGCCTGGATAACTTTTGACACATCAGCCTAGGTCCACCCTATGCCTCAGACGTGCATACATACTCTAACACTACAAATAACTATAAGCCATATGTTCCCTATTAAGGGTTAATAAGCATGTAGTGGTGTATATAAAAAATACCCCTTTCTGTCTCATTAGAGATATCTTTGCCAGAAGCTCAAGGAAGCAAGGTGAATGGTTAGTGTAGGACCCACCTAAGAGGTTTGCCTTGACGTGGCAGGTGGGCATTTCCCTCTAATGGCCATTGGAATAACTAAATAACCTCAATTTGTTTAAATATACATAGGGATTTCGGATAGAGCGCAGGTAACTTTTTTTCTTTGGTTTTTACTACAAATAACTAGCCTAGTCTGTCACTCCAAACATACCATATTTGTAGTCGGGGACCAAAACCATATCTATGATAAGTTAGATATATGAGCAAATCGGTTGTGGTGTGCCGAAACCGACGTATTGGGTAGGCCTGTAATAAAAGAGGGCCCACCTGTAATAGTAATATGTATAATGGGAGAGGTGGGAGGGATGAACCCGGCAGCATCAGCCCTGTGGTGTAGGGGGCCTGAGTTTAAATAGCCAGGTAACCCCTCCCACAACTTCAGGCTCCGCCTTCCAATTTGTAGTCGGGAACCAAAGCCGTATCTATGATAAGTTAGATATATGAGCAAGTCGGTTGTGGTGTGCCGAAACCGACTTATCGGGCATATTGAGGTTTAGTCCAGTGAGTGATAACCTGTAAACGTCTGGCATTTTGACCGGGCACCTTATTGTCCGTAGGATAGTACCTTATCTCCGTACGTTCGTCACATGGTAAGAGGATGTGAACAGTTTGGTACTAGGATAGGCACTTAAGATATAGTGTTGTATTCCAGTCAGGTAAAGTTTTGTAGTGTTAAGAGAGAGTTTTAAATTGTGGGGGCAAAAAGAAGAGGAGTGTCACGATGGCGTCTAGTGAAAGAATATCGGTATTATGGTAATCGGTGGTAATCTTGTTGTAAAGGTGAAATCTCTATTGTATGCTCGTGATGTATAAACGGAGAGGGCAGCTCTATCCAGAAATCTGCCAAATGCCATGAGGCGAGTTAGTCCAGGATTTAAGCCATGGAATGCGAGGGGGGGTTAGACAGGCCTGTTGTTGGCTATTGGGTGGGCTTCGAAGAAGTCTTGTAAATTAGAGCGAGATAAAGCATCAGCTGCTTGTACATACGACCGGGAATTTGTGCCCACGTGATGTGAAATTGTAG